AACCACGGACACCATGCCTCCTGGAGCCCTGTTGGCCCTCCATGCCTACTTTGCCTTGAGACCCTTACTTTTGGAGGTATATTTGGGGTGCTTAAGGGGACCCCATTAGTATAGCATAAATGCCCCCTTAATTGAACTCCCTGATAACCTAGTACTTTGCTCCCCGGGTTTCAATCGCTTTCAAAACTGGGCCGTTGAACCAACCCCAAACCCTAAACCCTAAACCCTAAACCCTAAGCCCTAAGCCCTAAGCCCTAAGCCCTAAGCCCTAAGCCCTAAGCCCTAAGCCCTAAGCCCTAAGCCCTAAGCCCTAATCCCTAAGCCCTAAGCCCTAAGCCCTAAGCCCTAAGCCCTAAGCCCTAAACCCTAAACCCTAAGCCAGGCGGCTTGGCCTGACCAGGGTGAAGGAGAGTGCTCTATCTCCAAGCCTGTTGAGATGTCGGCAGGCGGGTCGTTTAGGGTTTAGGGTTTAGGGTTTAGGGTTTAGGGGGCTTTCTTGAGAGGGCGGGGAAAGGCTCTCCGTACTTGCGTGTGGATGAAGTCGCTCGGGTGCTCTGGGCTCACGCGCCTTGCATAGGTTGCTGGCACGCATTCCCTCAGAGCAGGGGCGCAAGAAAACAGACGGTTTTGTGTCGTTCATGTTTAGTGCATGGTAGTTTGTAAAAGAGCTTGCAATAGAGTTTACAGCATCGTGTCAAACAGTAGAACATACACAATATATGATAGTAGAATATAGTCATTTATTGTACAATATGGTACAATATACTGAAACATAGTGTAAGATAGAAACAAAAGAATAAGCTGGCAAATACGGTATGGTAGAATATAGCTGGAGAGTACATCATAGTATACTGAGTACATCATAGTATACTGTTGTCGAATGGTTTAAGCATTCTACAGTATGATGCAACATGAACATAATGTAGAAACTCTAGTATATGGCTCTCTGGTTCCTCTGTAAGGTCAATCGTCAGAGGTAGCTCCGAGTTCGGAGTTCTTCTCTCCATCGGACTTCTGAACCCCTGAGCTTTGCATGTTTTCTTCACTTGGGGGATTTACGAAAATAGGGGACCCCTAATATAGACCCCCAAATAGTGGGATTCCCTTAGAATTTGGACCCCAATTCGGTACTCCTCTTATCGTAAGCTCCCACTTTGGATCTGACAAGGCGATCGTGTGCTCATGCGAGTTCGCCATCGCGATCACATGGGAGCCGACTCTGAGCAAGCATTCCTGCTTTGTGCCATTGTGCCAGACGTCTAGCATATCTAGGGTGCATCAAGGTTTGTAAATGGTGATTTCTGGATTTATTAGGGTTAGGGTACAGGGTTTAGGGATAATTCCCAAAAGCAAAGCCCTACAACCGCGTTTGTGTATGGCTGAGGCAGCCCACCGAAGCTTTGAAAAGATCATGAGAGCCAGTACCTTCCAAGAAATGCCGACACAACACCGGCTCGCCGCAAAATCCTAAAGCCTGAGTCCTGACCTCTGGCAATGACCAGCACCCGAGAACCTAAACCCTGAACCCCAAACCCCAGGACTGGCTGCGTGTGGGCCTCCGTGTCCACACACCTGTGCTGTCGGCGGAGGGGTGCCGGGATGACAATGATGCGTAGGGTTTTTTGAGGGTGTCCGAGACCTGAAGAAGGTTTAGGGCTTAGGGTTTAGGGTTTACGAAGGGACTGATATCTTTGAACAGGCCCTTCTTCCACGAGCGAGTGTGACAGGACTCCAGTTTCCGGCCTGCAACAGCTAAAGAGCTCGGGCTACGCGCTACATGATCGTCATGTAGGGTCCATCGCTTTGGGGGGTTTTTAGGGTTTGGGGTTTAAAGGCCAACCCGACAGTCCGGTGCTTGGGAGTCTGGCAGGTTCATGCCGCCGCCCGAGATTTTGAGGACCGTTGCCTCTGAATCCGGGGTCCAGCGTTTGTTTTTTCTTCTAGGGGTACCATGCACGCTCGAAGCTGTCCTCCCCCAGGGTTTAGGGTTTAGGGTTTAGGGTTTAGGGTTTAGGCGAAGTAGACACTGGAGGAGCAAGTCCTTCCTGGAGGTGCAGAGACTTACCATGACCGCTAGCGTGGTCCGTGAGAGGCAAGGGGTATGCAAGCCATGCTCTTGTGATGCCACGCTTCTGATGAGTGTGAAGAGGTGTTGCTAGGGAACCCCTTTTCCTGAAAGTTATGTGAAGACATCTCTAAATTATGGTCCCTTCTGTGGTCCTCATTCAAAGGCGGCCCCTCGAATTTGGGGTAACCCCAGAAAGGACCATTTTTGAGAACTGACCAACCATGATTTGTGTCCATTCATGCCCTGTTGTCTGGCCACAGTTTCTGAAGACTTGTCCAGGCATCGTATGAACTTCCTCCGTGTCCTTACAGGCCGGGTTTTCGCCTGAACGGAGGGTCCTGCACCAGAGCAGCTTCCCTTCTGTGGCTTCACTTGCTGTGGTGGTGGCGCTACGCCCTAAACCCTAAACCCTAAACCCAAAAGAAACAACCCTAAACCCTCAACCCTAAACCCTAAACCCTAAACCCTAAACCTTAAACCCTAAACCCTAAACCCTAAACCCTAAACCCTGAACCCTGAACCCTGAACCCTGAACCCTGAACCCTGAACCCTGAACCCTGAACCCTAAACCCTAAACCCTAAACCCTAAACCCTAAACCCTAAACCTAAATGCCAAACCCTGAACAAACTCCAAACCCTTAACTGGGTTCTCGATGGCCGCCAGGGAGCTTTCGCGTTCGCGTGCGCCGCTACGCCCAGAACTTCCTCCGCGAGGGCGTCTCAGGAGCCTCGGCTGGAGATCTCCAGGGTGGGTTTGGAGGGTTCTAATTAGGGTTAGCTATGGTTTGGGATGGGCCCAGAAAGGTGTTTCAAGGGTGTGGAGGGTTGTTAGGGTTTTTCTCTCGGGTCTTGCAGGATTTTGGGATTTTTTTGGGGGCGTGGGCGTGGGTTTCTTTTTGGAGGTTGGGGGGTCACGGTTTGGGGTAGGGTTTTAGGGGTTAGGAAGTGAGCTCAAAAGTTATTGGGCCAGCTCTACTAGTAGCTGCCAAGCCTGAAGACCTTAAGGCATAATCCCGAAGCCCCCAAAAGCCCCAACCATCCCTGCCAAAAACCCTAATCCCCCAGAGCGAGAGCCTCAACCCCCCAACCCTCCAACAACATCCAAAAATTGAAGCCCTGAACCCCGAACCCTGAGGCGCTAAACAGCAAAGCCTTGGACCGGCAGTGATCTCCAGGCGTGCTTCGCGTGGGGGCGACGGCTGCAGAACTCGGTGCTACGCTCTGGGGAACCAGCGACCCCCGCGCAGCAGGGGATTTCGGTTGTTTCTCCGGTTCCTCTGAGGAGTTATGTTCTCAAAAGGGAATATTACACATGGTGTCTCACTAAGGTGGAGGGGGAGTTTGGGTTTGGGGTTTAGGGGTTTAGGGGGTGATTTTTCGGATCAAGGACGTGGTTATCAGGGTTCAGGGGGCACCAAAGGTCCTAACCCCTCAGCCCTCAACCCCAAACACCCGTAAGCCCTCAACCCTAAACCCTGCTGTTAGTGTCTGCCGTGAGTCAGATTTTGCTGGCCTGCGACTGTGGTCAAGCACGTGCGTTTCGGACACACGCTCTCAGGTTTCAAATGTGCAAGAAGCTGTAGGGTAACCTCGCGCTTCCCTTAGCAGTTTCATTCGCCAGCCTTCACCCTCAACAACCCTCAACCCTCAACCCTCAACCCTCAACCCTCAACCCTCAGCCCTCAGCCCTCAACCCTCAACCCTCAACCCTCAACCCACACCCCTCACCCCTCAACCCTCAACCCTCAACCCTCGACGCTCAGCCCTGATCTGAGGATCTCTATGGACGAGTCTTGGAATGCGAGCCAACCCTTGAGACGTTGGTGGATGAAGACCAAGCGCTGCCGCATGTCAAGAGACAAGCAGCAGCAAAGGGGTTTTGAGTTTAGGGTTTAGGGCTTGGGGTGTCGGACTAGGAGTACGCGTAGGAGTAGGAGGAGGAGGAGGAGTAGGAGTAGCAAGAGTAGCAGGAGTAGCAGGTGTAGGAGTAGTAGAAGTAGCAGTCCACAAGTCCCACCAACAGTCACCAACAGATCCAATAGCGAGAACAGCAACATCAACCACAACAACAGCCTTGTCGACAGCAAGCGAGACAAATATGAGTTCACAATGGCAATCAACATACCATGCCGAGGCAGCACCCAGTCTGCATTCTAGTTCTTGTTTCGCCAAGGCTGGCATACTTTGTGACCTTCCCCTGTCCGCAACAAGGAGATGGCAATCCGCACGCCGTCCCGAGCTTGCATTCGAGGTTTTCAGTTCACCCCAGACCCTAAAATTGCAAAACGCCCAAACCCCAAGCATCCCCACAGTTCTTACAACAGCCGAAAAACAAAGAACGAGCGACTTTCAGTCCAGGAGGGAAGATTTGTTCTCCTCTATGGCAATAACAAATTATATATATATATATATATACATAGATAGATAGATAGATAGATAGATGGATAGACAGATAGATAGAAGGACAAATGTATGTACGCACGCACACACGTACTTACGTATGTATGTATGTATGTATGTCTGTATGTATGAATGATGTATACGTGTGTAAACATATGTATGTATGCATGTACATATCTGCGGGACTTTCCGAGCCCATTGTTTGAAGCCTTCGGACCCAACCTTGAAGTGATCTCTTTTTCTGTCATGGAGCTCGAGAACCCTTCCAGAGTACAATGTAGTAGTAGAGTGTGGAGAGTTTAGATGTTGCAGCGGGATACCACTTCACTTGAGTATGGGTAGATGAGGACAGCCCCTCATCGTCCCTGTTCAAGAGTGCAGGGGTGTTTTCGCATTAGTCGCACTTTGATCAGATAGCGTAGTGGTAGAGGCACCAACATGACGAGCTCCAAGAATCTCTTGTGCTGAGTGCTGCAGTGTGGCTGCCCAAGAGAGCAAGAGCAAGAACAACCAAGAGAGAAGAGCTCTCAAAATGCCCAACCCACGGGTCTTCTTCGACATGGAGATCGGGGGGCGCCCCGCCGGTCGCATCGAGATGGAGCTGTTTGCGGACTCGGTCCCGAAGACGGCCGAGAACTTCCGCGCCCTGTGCACCGGTGAGAAGGGCAAGGGACGCTCCGGCAAGCCATTGCACTACAAAGGTAGCGCATTCCACCGGGTGATCCCTGACTTCATGTGCCAGGGTGGCGACTTCACCCGCGGCAACGGCACGGGCGGCGAGTCCATCTACGGCGACAAGTTCAGGGACGAGAATTTCAAGCACAAGCACACCGGGCCCGGCATCTTGTCCATGGCCAACGCAGGCCCCAATACCAACGGTTCCCAGTTCTTCCTCTGCACCACTGCTACCCCGCACTTGAACGGCAAGCACGTGGTTTTTGGCAAGGTGGTGGAGGGAATGGACATCGTCCGCCTCATCGAGAAGGAGGGCACCAGCTCGGGCAAGACCAAGCGGCCGGTGGTCATCGACGACTGCGGCGAGCTGGGCGGCGGTGGCAGCGGCGCCCGTGAGCGCAGCCCGCGCCGCTGAAAGCGCCTCATGTAATATAGGGGGTCGGATTAACTACGGATAGTATTCCCTTTTGGTCCATAGACTAGCATACTGTAGGAGTCCCCAAAATCCTTTTCATATGTAAAAAGGCCCCTACAGTAGCCCGCAGGATGCACAGCTACCTGAATCTTGAAGTTTTGACTGCGGACAGTCAAGCCCAGAGCAGTGGGGGGTATAATGCGGAAAAGGTCGGGGGCGCTGCTGTGCACAAATCTTGCTGATGAGCTGTAGTCAAAATGCTTCTGCTAAAGCAACGCAGTCTTCAACTACCCCGTATCTGTCCTTTTCGAAGGGTAGTTATATGGTCCCTTCATATGGTCCCCCTTACCTTCTTTAAGAGAACCCTAAGGGTCCCCTTCGAAGAGCCCATATGAAGGGACCATGTATCCTAGCCTAGACCCTAAACCCCAAACCTTAAACTCTAAACCCAACACCCTTAGATCTTTAGTCAAGGACACATTGGACATCGTGCCTGGACTGGATGTCATCGCCACCGGCCGGGAGGGATGGGCTGCTTGGCTTTTGAGCCCAAGGCCCAAGGTAGTCCCGCTTTAGGGTACAAGGCTCAGGGCTTAGGGTTTAAGGTTTAGGGTTTAGGGTTTAGGTTTAGGGTTTAGGGTTCAGGGTTTAGGGTTTAGGGTTTAGGGTTGTGTCAGAACCATCGCCTTGGAGCTGGTCTCAGGAACCCCGGCACAGAAACCTTTGGGGCTTGGGGTTTATAGGGTTTATACAGGGTTTAGGGTTTATAAGGCTTAGGGCTTTTAGGGTTTAGGTTTTTGGGGTTTAGGGCTTCAGGCTTGCTCGGGGTGTAGAGAGTTGCGTGCCCTCCCTAAACCCCAAACCCTAAACAAGCCCTAAACCTTAAACCCTAAACCCTAAACCCTAAAGTGTTCTTTGCTGTCTGGGATCCCTTCCGAGGTCATGAACTCCGTGCGGTTGCAGACGGCCTCGGCGCTTGCCCCGCGGCGCACTAAACAAAAGAGGACAGAGGTTGCCTGAACCCATCTCGCGAGGGCTTAGGGGTTTGGGGGTTCAGGGTTTAGGGGTTTAGAGTCTATGGTTCAGGGCCAGGGCTAGGGTTCAGGGTGTAGGGCTACAAAACCTACACACCCTAGAAGTACAAAAGCTCATGAAACGTGAAATCCAAGCCGCGCATGGCCCTGAACCCTGAACCCTGAACCCTGAACCCTGAACCTTGAACCCTAAACCCTAAACCCTAAACCCCAAACCCTAAACCCCAAACCATAAACCCCAAAACCGCTGGACGTGAGTTGCCGAGGTTCAGGGCAGCTTCCGGCTCTACTTTCGAGGGCAGTGGACGCAGGTTTGTCCACGTGTCGATGTGGGCTTAGGTTGCATTCTTTTTTTTGGGGGGGGGGGGGGGGGGCTTAGCGGTTTTTCGGCTTTTTGAGGTTTTGGGGGGGTTAGGGTCGCTTTTAGGGGTGTTTAGGGGTTTTTGGTGGTTCAGTGCTTTAGGGGCTAGAGTTTAGGGATTAGGGTTTGCGGATTCGGGTTTGGGGGGGGACATCAGAAAGCATGTTCTGAGCCTTTTCGGAATGGTCTATACCGGCAGGACATGTGGTACGATCGTTTGCTCTCTTCTCTTGGGTCTGTTCTTCTCTTCTCTGAGTCTCGCTGCTGCGATGGGCTTTGGGGTTGCGCTTGCATGCCCGGGAAGGCCATCTCGTACCAGGGCTGGCAAGACATCCAGCAGCAGCTGCTGATGCTTCCGGGGCTGAGCGACGTGCGCATCTGGCCTTTTGCAGAGGCGCCCCCGCTCTAGGGGTCAGAGTTCTTAATTCTGAGCCACCTTAAAGGAGGTAAGGGACCATGTCCAGGGACAATATCCAGGGACCATGAAACTGCATCTGTCTTCCGTGTTCGACTCGCCATCAATCATGGTCATCTTGCAGGTTTCGGCTTCCCACTGCAACTAGGACAAGCCCTCAGCCAAACCCATTCTTAAAGCCGAAAGCCTAAAGCCTAAAGCCTAAAGCCTGAAGCCTAAAGCCTAAAGCCTAAAGCCTAAAGCCTAAAACCTAAAGCCTAAAGCCTAAAGCCTAAAGCCTAAAGCCTAAAGCCTAAAGCCGAAACTCTAAACCTTAAGCCCTAAACCCGAAACCCTAATCCCCAAACCCCAAACCCTAAACCCTAGACCCTAGACCCTAGAGGTCCTCCAGGATGGCCGAGAAGGGTGGTCGGTGGGACTGCAGCTGCCAGGGGCAGCAGGCCCCAGGGATTTTAACATCGCCGGCCTCGATATTTCAGGGGTTTAGGGTTTAGGGTTTAGGGTTTAGGGTTTAGGGGGTTTGGGGGGACTGAAGCCAAGGGTTCAGGGTTCATACATATATATATATAAAGCCGAGAAGAGGGTATGGTAGCCACAGTTTGTTGGGCTCATTTGATTCTCAGGGGGGGCTTGAAGGGTTTGGACTTTGGGGTCTTTCGGTCGAGTTTCAAGGATGGCTGAAGCCACTCTGTAGGCCCCAAAACCCAAAACCCAAAACCCAAAACCCAAAACCCTAAACCCTAAACCCTAAACCCTGAACCCTGAACCCTGAACCCTGAACCCTGAACCCTGAACCCTGAACCCTGAACCCTGAACCCTGAACCCTGAACCCTGAACCCTGAACCCTGACCCTAAACCCTAAATCCTAAACCCTAAACCTTAAACCCTAGATCCCATGAAGCAGGTGGCGAGGACATGCCGCAGATTAAAGTCGACGGCTCCCAGCTGTCTGGGCCAGGTCGGATCAGGGCGCTTGATTAAAACTCATAGGAGGAGCTGCGGGTTCGGGTTTAGGGTTTGGGGCTTAGGGTTTAGGGTGTGCTGTTCAGGGTTTAGACTAGAGCAGCAGGAGGATTGGAGAAGCGTGAGAAAGGTGAGGAGATTGGGCGAGCGGCAAGATGTCATCAACACCGCGGCATGTTCCAGAAATCGTGCCAGTTGGTCCCTCTGAACTAGGTGCTGCGAAGGTAAACGGATCCATGAGAGTTTCTGTCTGTTAACAGGAAGGTTGCTAGTCATCAATTGTGCGTGCTTGCGACTGTGTGTCTCAAAACCTGCTGCTCTGGTGAGTCGCATGCACAACGTCAGGTAGCACTCTTCACTACACCAGAAACCTTAAAACTAAACCGGTCGATTTGGGAGCGAAGCACAGAGGCGGAGGATGTGGCGCTAACCAACAAGGGACTTTCGTTCTTCTGCTGTCGTCGTGCTCATTGTCTGAGGTCGGGCTGGTTTTCTGCTGCTGTTATTACTGCTGATATTCCTGCTGTACTTGTTGCTGCTACTGATGCTGTTGCTCTGCTGCTGCTGCTGCCGCCATTGGTGGTCAGCTGCATCAGTGGTGATCGGATTGCACCACTTGCAAGCTCGGCCATGTTGGCGTGCTTTGGCTGCAGGCGTTCGTCTGCAGATCGAGACGCTTGCAAATGGCTCGCAGGATCTCTTTTTCGAGGAGCCTACTGTCTGCTCGTATGGTTCTGCAGGAGCTTGCAAGAAGGGTTACAGTATACCCTTGTTCAGTGGCCGCTTCCCTTATGCCTTAGAGAAGTGGCTGCAAGAAGTACCTGCTAAAGCCTAAACCCTAAACCCTAAATTAGGCCCTGAACCCTAAACCCTAAACCCTAAACCCTAAACCCTAAACCCTAAACCCTAAACCCTAAACCCTAAACCCTAAGCCTTGAACCCTGAACCTTGAACCTTAAAAAGACTACAGGAAATACCTGCCGACTGGTTCCGCACGCCCAATGTGCAGCCTCAGGTGGATCGGGCTTTGGGTTCTGCAGGGCCTCAGTGTGCAAGTTGGGCTGGGGGTTTAGGGGTTTAGGGTTTAGGGTTTAGGGTTTAGGGTTTAGGGTTTAGGGTTTGGGGTTTAGGGTTAAGGGTGGAGGGTTTGAGGTTTGGGGAGGAACTCTACGCCCTAAATTCTAAGCCCTAAACCCGAAACCCCAAACCGTAAGCCCTCCCAACCCTTTCACTCCGAAGCCTGCGAATCCTCAAACCCTAAACCGTAGATCCTTAAACCCTAAACCTCTAAACCCCTAAACCCCTAAACCCCTAAACCCCTAAACCCCTAAACCCCTAAACCCCTAAACCCCTAAACCCCTAAACCCCTAAACCCTCAACCCTAGGCCCTAAACCCTAACCCTAAACCCTAAACCCTAAGCCTCAAACCCCCCAAGCAGATACCCGACCCTCTCAGCTTTGCAGGTGGTGGTGGAAAGCAACGGCGTGGTGGCCTCCGCGAATGATGCGTCCTTCCGGCGCTCCGAGGAGACCTGGGTTTAGGGTTTAGGATTTAGGGTTTAGGGTTTAGGGTTTAAGGTTTAGGAGTGCTATGTCTTAAACCCACGGTCGCAAAGCCTTCGCTTCAGGGCTTGAGGATTCTTGGACCGTTCTCTTTTCGGGCATTGTAAGGCATCTTTTCGGCCTAGAACCTTAAACCTTACACCCCAAGCCCTGCACTCTCTACCTTGGTAGCCCAGTGGTACCCTTTACCCTTTTTTTGGTTTATGGTTTCCCTTATAAAATAGCCAACCCAAAAAAGGGTGCCCTTATCATAATATGTTTACTGGACTACCGTGTTACCCTGAACCCGGACTCTGAATCCTGAAGCCCAAAGGCCTGGGCCATTCGCAGGACTTTACCCCTCGATTGATGGACTTGGACCCCTTGGTGGTCCAGGTGCAAGCGTCGCAGAGCTTGGAAGTTGATATGGCTCAGGGTTTAGGGTTTGGGGTTTGGGGTTTGTGGTTAGGGTTCACGGTTTAGGGCGCAGAGTTTAGGGTTTAGGGTTTAGGGTTTGGGGTGTCGGGGGTTTGTCTAAACAAGGTGGGAGCAGCCCCCGTTATGGGTTTCGGGGATCGGAATCCAGGGCTTAGGCTGGTGCACTTTCGGGGTCCTACCCCAAAATTCTGCGAAGTCGAGATCCCCCCAAAAACTCTCCATCCCGTAGCCCATTGAACACCCCATA